AAAAGTTACCATTCTAGAGTATAATCTCTATATACCTCCAGTATGCACTAAGGGCATGTCAACATGAAGGAAGAAGAAAATTTGTAATATGTTTAATTTAATCTTCACAAATTGTTCTAAGATGTCAGCATTAAATTATTAACTGAGGTCTCAAAGCCAAAAGGTTAAAAAAAACTTATCCAAGTTAACTCATGATTAAAATCCAAGTCAATCTGATCTTAAATTTTATCATAATTTTATTTTCCAATGCTCTATTTTTTTAGTATTAAGTATTAACATTATTCTAGTGATTCTGTTTTGTGAAGATTAGGTTAAAAGATATACAACATACTATATCTTAGCAGAATTGCCAAGTCAATATGCCAAGTCATTAAATTAATCATTTTTCTTAAATATTCTGGTCAAATATGGTTTTATCATATTAATATAAAGACTGATTTTTGAGAATGAAGTAAAAACAAATGGAAGTGGAGAGCACCCATTTCTTTGAGCTTCAACCAAGCCAGGTATTGCATATGAAAGGTAGTCCATGGTTACTCAACACATAAAGTTGGTTCTGGACTTCATCCCCGTTTCAAATTTTCTGTTTCTGCCCTCACATCACCTTTCAGATCTAATGCTATATATTTGGTATCTCTCAATAAAGACTTTGGTACTCTTTCTGCCCAAGATTACTTCTCAGCCCAATGTGGACCTTATAGCACTTAGAACAGTAAAGAATCAAGATAAATGATCCAGTGCGAGAAAAGGACACCTTTCTAGTTGCCAAAATTCTCTGATTTGCTAAATACAATGGCTCTCTCCTTTGATTAATGCTAGAGACATGCCATCAATCCTCCAAAGCTTTTTAATGCCTATTGTTATGCCAAATACTGTAAACAATTTTCAAGATTATAGCTTCTTTCTTATGTTGCATTTTATTACCTCATTATTTTATTATGAGTTGCACATACAGGATGGTAACTTATTTACTTAAAACTTTCATAACTTGCAATGTAGGGGATATATTATTCAGAGAAGTACTATAGATAATTAATCTCACCTTATTTTATTTTTTCCTCCTTTCCTACTGTCAATTCTTTAGCTTCTATTTAAAATATTGTACCAGAGGTGAGAGAGGCTGAATTGAGGTGGTTTTACTCTGGAAATCGACAGCCCTCTGTACAACCAGCATACTGGAAAAATTATAAACATTGTTATACATATAATTAATAACGATAGCTTTCTGGATAAAATAATCAACATGCTCAATTGCAAAAGTAAGAAAATATGTTGGAATTATAGCCAGCATTTGCATTGTGAAGGACTTTATGAACTCCTAAAATAAAATTTAAAAAATTCCCTAATTTTGCTTGCGGCAAATGACATAAAACATGAACTCAAATAATTTGCCTCCAGGCTAACCTTCCGCAGAACCAGTAGATGGTCACTCCAGTAAACACTCTGGTTACTTATTGAAAATCAAGACTCTTTTCTGCTCCATCAGGGAATGTAGTACCAGATCCAAGGTCAGAGCTGGACCTCTTCTTGGGGTGGAGGTTAAGCAATGCAAAGCGTCCACAGAATGGCCAGAGGCCAAGGAGCAGGGCTTGTGACTCCAGAACACATCAGCTGAAGGTGAGATTAAGTTTTAAAAGGGTCATTAAAATGCAGTCATTGTTAGAAGTGGTGAAAGTGGGGAAATAAAAAGGTCAGGTTTCAAGAATGACTAGCTAAAGTCCCATGTAAAGGACTTACTGAGCAAAGAGCCCATCTTGAAAAGAAAGAGTATGAAAGGAAAAAATAAAAAATTACAATACTTGTGAACCTTTTCGTGAAAGTGTTTTAACTATTTTCCTAAAATAGTTTAAATGGCCACTTAAATGGCTGAACTTTGACTGGAATGGCATTTATAAAAACAAACAAAACACCCATGTAAAGAAAATGCCTGTAAGGGTAGACACCAAAATACTATTGGTAGTTCATCCCTGAGAGTTGAAGTTAAGAATTTCTTTTTCTTCTCTATACGATTCTGTATTGCCTATTCCCTCCTCCTCCCTACAATAAGCACACACCCTGCTTTTACAAATAAGGGGAAGAAAACAGTAAACTATTTTTGTTTTTTTTAAAGTAAAATTTAAGCTTGGTATTAATCTGTAAAATAAATGTTTGCATAGCTAAATTGGCAGGGCAAAGCAACACTACGAAGACAGAGTCTGTGTGATGAAAAAAATCAGAGACTAATTAGAAACAAATGAACACAAAAGCTTGGGTTTTGCAACAGCAGCAGAATTTATAGAATTACAGCATCTCTAGAATTACAGAACCCACAATTTCCTGCATGTGTCTGTTTCTGCCAACTTTTGGTTGTCTGTGGTTTTCTTAAAATATCTTTGGAAGGAACTTCCAGGAATCATCACATCAGTTCAATGTTCTTTCAGTTATAATCTAACAAAGGCTTCTAGAATTTCTGCAGGAGCCTCCGATTCATGTATGTGTTCCAGTGATCTGCCACACACTTTTGACTTAGACCCAAGATTACACAACGCGTTAGTTACTGACCTTCTGCAACATTAGGGATACTTTCTCAGCTTTACTTAGTGTAGTTTTCTTAACCAACGAGTAGTTTTTACTATCTCCATTACATGGGGCCGAGCAGGAAGGGCAACCTGAAGCTGAGAAAGTGAGTTGTCCAAGGTCTCACAGCAACTCAGACTGGGATTTGAATTCAGGTTTTGACTTGATGCCTAGTGCTATTTTTATAAGACACTAAAACTGCATCTGGAAAACTGACAGCCTGATTTTCCTGAGGTCCCTGAGGAGGTAGGCTATGGAAAGTGTTCACTACATGAATGTTTGGGCTTTCCACAGCTCTAATTATGTGACTGGCTTAACGGCCATTCTACACTATGAAGTTGATGGTAGAGCACTGAAAAATTCTTGTTTCCTTCAACTATTGCTCTTCCACTCTTTATAATTTTGTTATGAATTGAGTGAAGGAGTTGTATTTTTAAAGTTACAGTAACCAAAATAATTCTGTGTTAATAAGTTAAAAAGAAAATCCTGATAAGTTAACAGTTTAAAATTTTAAAGTCATAATAAAATATTATGTTAAAATTATCCAAGAATAGACTGCTGACTACTATTTTTTTTTTTATCAGTTGAATATAAACTCTAGCGTATTCTAATCAATTTCACCCTATCCAGGGATCCCCTAATCCATAGCTGCCATCGACAGCACGGTCCATTTTTCCTTGACAGTAATTTTCTTCCTTCCCCTAATCTAAAATTCAGAATATGGAAGTAGGATAGCTTTCTTCTTTATACTGCATGTGATAATCTAAGTGATTACTACTAGGGAATAAAATATGAAAAATATGCATATATACATTAGCCACTAATAATCAATTCTCAACTGAATTATTTGATAAATGGCTTCATTAAGTTGTATTGGTAATTCAAATAGAAGTTTGTTGTACCTGGTCAAGTGATAAATTATGCTTATGCTCACTGTTTTGTTTCCTAGAACAATGATAGCTAGGTTTTTAGTCATCTTCAAGGCAAGGATAGATTGTGTTTTATACATTATTGGTATGAATATAAATAAATATGGTCAGCATGAGGAACAGACCTGATTATGCAGAAGGTACTTAATAAATAAATTGAGTTTACTGATTTGCTTTTGCCTCTTCTTTAGGTTAAAAATGGAAGTGAGGACATTAGTAAATCTACCAATTCATTTCCCTTTAGCCATAAATGGCAGTGTGCAAAGGAGCTATGCAAACCAGGACTCTTAACCTGAATTTCAGATGAGGTTCCCTTCACTCCCTCAAATTATATTAAAACCTGTTTGTGTGTTCATACGTTCACTTTCCTGAGATGATCCATAGCTTTTTTACAGTTTTCAGGCAACCCTCAAGTCCATAAACTATGAAGAACCATTGGTGTCTAATATCCATCTGCACCTGAAATGTCAGCCCCTGTAACTAAGAAAATCTATCTACTTTTGCTTGGAATAAGCTATAACCTTTTCCTCTTATTTTTGATTTTCCTAAAGATGCTCGATCTCCAGTTAGGATTGTTGCCCTAAGTACTATCTGGAATAAAGCAATGTATGGAGCATGACAACACACAAGATAACTTGAGACTTCTCCTTGATCCCATGCTATGCCCTGTACTAAGTTGGTACTTTGTGACCAGGTACAGGTCAAAGTGGTTTTTTGTTTTGTTTTGATTATTTCAAACTCAAATGGACTAAGTGATCTGGGACCTAATTATGGAGGAAATTAGCTATATCCTTATGCATGCTCACAGCCACTAAAATCCAGGGCAACACTTCAGCTAACGGTCCCTGCCTTGTTACTTGAAAGAATTTGGGGCAATTCACTCTCAGCATGAGGACTTGACTTTGAAACTTATGGTACACCTCACAGCCTAAATTCACAAGTCTGTAGAGGTAGAAAGCTTTTTTGTTTGTTTGTTTTACATACACTGACAGAAAAGATCAGGTAGTTGTGATCAAATCAGTTTAAAGTGTTTCTCTACAGCCCCCACCCTTTCCCAATAATGTGTTTTTAAGGAAGTTAATATTTGACTAGTTTATTGCACTGCTACAAATTAAAAAAAGCAATTATATTAAGGAACATTCCCTTTTTAGGAAGAAAAATCAAACCTTTATAATTATGCTTCTTATTCTCAATCCAAATTATAATAACTTATGAAAATGATTTCTTAGTAGTACATTTTATTATATTTAGTGTTTAAATAACATGAAGGGCTATGGATTATAGTATTTTAATCTTAGCTGTTCCAACTTTTACCTTTAAGTGCGTCAGAAATACTATACATCTTACAGTGCTATTGTTTATTCTTTCTATTGTTTATCTTTTAAATGAACATAAATTGAGATTGTTAAAGCCTACATTTTTATTTTCAAATGTTGGCTTCTTGTAAATAAATGTATTTATTTTTACAAAGATAAGACTGCTCCCTTCGGTGGTCATCAGAGAAGATATGGCTTTGTTACAGTCTTCAGTCTCACTAGTAAGAAAAGCATGCAAAATGCTGTTGAAATCCTAAAGGGAACTTTCTAAGGAAAACAGAGCTTTAACATTATTTTGGAAGATTGTGATGCATACCCATTTTAAAGGTTGGCTGTTGAGTCCATTTTGGTTATCAGAGTTTTTCTGCTCCTGCTGTAAGTTTCAGAGCTTCCTTTCAAGTAAAAAAAAAATTGAATATCTGAGGTATCAACATAACAAAAAAAACACATGAATTCCAAATCACAGTAAATGGCTTCTAAGAAGATTGTAAATTGAGTGACAGAAGAGAAGTCATTTAAAGGAACCCCCCACTAAGAACACAGGGCAGCACCCAAATAAATCCATTTTAATTTTCACTTTATTTCAGTTGTATTTCAAAGCTGTGATCTCATGACTGGAGAGAGAAGCAGCTCACAGAAGAGCCTACGTTCAAAGGAATTAAAATTTAGCCTGAAATGCAAAATTGAGGACTTTTGCTTCTAAGAGCATGACTGTAGAAATGCCAAGGTTGAAGCATGTGGGTTTGGTGCTACAGCAGCGGAATTAGTAGTCTGGAGTGACCCTGCAGGTGCTGGCGAATGGCCATGAAGGAATGCTCTTTACAAGAGGAAAGCTTGTACCTGACAAGCCTTTAGAAAGGTGCATTTCTCTTAAAAGACTTCTCCTGTCCTTCTAATCTAGGAGGGACATTACAAACTGCTAATAAATGGTGATACCCATGCTTTCAGAGATCAGATTTCCCCAGAGCTGAAATAAAGCACCCTTTAGCTTGTCCCCCCTGACCCCCAGGGTATCCCATTGGATTCCCTGCAGAATGCTCTCTGCTTGCACCCTCTGGGAAGGTTGCACAATGGATCAATAATCTCTGTTGTCTGTCTTTGCGCTGGGGCTCTGGCTTCCAGAGGGGAAAATAGCTACACACACAGGGAAAGGGCATAAGTTAAAATCGTGCAAGCCTGGTTGGGTAATGACTTTCCCAGGATCCAAGTCTTTGCCTTCAGGACACATGAAAACAGAAACCAATGTTTTTCACTCAACATTTATAGAGAACACACAAAGTACATGGTACTGTGCTAAATCCTGGAGGGCATGCAAGAGTAGGCAAAACATAATCCCTGGCCAGAGGATTCCCGACAGGAAGGCTGTTTTAAGTATCCCCAGACCTTAGGACCCTTCAAGAAATTCTCGGGTGAATAAAATTGCACTCAGTATATTAAATAAACATGGAAAAGGGTACTGCTAGGGCAATACATCCTTAAGGAGGCAGGGCATGTCCATGTGCTTGAAAATATTATTTCTAAGTTATACAGTGTGGCGGATGAATGAGGTAGGAGGTTTAAGGGGCTCAAGGCGCCAGGGTGGCCACACCAGCCCTTTCTCTCTCGGGAGCCTGACTTCAAAGAGGCACGGATCAGCTGTCTGCACAGATAGCTGAATCCGAACAAAGGAGGCTGGCACTTTTACCTGGGATGTGGATAACTTGGAGGAAAAGTGGCCTCCAAGAAGGAAAAGGGGCAACATTCCACCTGGAGTGAGAAGCGCCCCCGCTACCCAACCGTGCCAGCGGACCGCATCCTCCATCGACCTCCCCCTGGCTCCCCGCTCCGCATCCTCTGCTCAGGCCCCGCGGCGGCCGCGCTCCGCCGGGTTCCACCGCCCGCTCCGCGCCGGCAGCCCTCGCACCAGCCGCTCCGGCCCGCGCTCTGCCACGTGCGCCGGGCCCTCCACTCGGCCCCTTACGGGTCCGGGCGCCCCCAGTGTTGCAGTGGTAATCGTGGGGTCCCCATTTCTGTTCCCCCACCCCCCGGCCCCCAGCACCCAGCCAGAGTCCGGACAGCGGTGGCGGGAGCGAGCGGCTCGGCCCCTCCTAGGAAGGGCAGCGCGACAGCGGGCTCCGGGCGCCGCCTCCGCTGCATCCGTGGCTCCGTGCGCTGCGCCCGGCTCAGCCCCGCTCTGCTCCGGAGCCGCGCGCGCCGGGTGCCGGGCCCTCCTCCTCCTCCTCCCCGGCCGCCGCCCCGCGGGCAGCTCCTTTGGACGTCTGAGACGCTCGCTCGGTCCGTCCTCCTCCCCAGGCTGACGGGTTTCCGGGGGTGAAGAATTTCGCCTCGGTCCCTACGAGCATCTCGGCCTCTTCCCCTCCCCTCCCCTCGCGACGCCCCCAGCCCGTGGGCGCGCGCGCGCACGGACACACACTCCCACCGGCCGGCGCGCGTGCGCGGCCCGAGCCGCGGAGTCTCCGGCGCCGCGCGGCGGAGCCCACTCTCCCGGCGCCGCTGCTCACACCCGCTTCCAGCCGCCGCGGGGCGTCCTCCGTCTGCGGCGGCGGCGGGGGCGGCGGACGGAACCGCGCCTGCAGCCCGGCCCCTTCGCGCAGCTCCGCGCCCGGGACGGAGTCCGGGAGGAGCGGAGGAGGAGGACACCGAGGCGAGGAGGAGCCGCGCCCGGCGCCCGGCTCCGCGCGACGGGCTGTCTCCGCGCCCGGTGTCACGGCGCCAGGTAAGCAGCGCGGGGCCCGCAGCATCCCGGGAGCGTCCGGGGTTGTCGCCGGGCTTCCCCAACCCCGCCCCCGCCGAGGCACCGGGGTACCGGCTTGGAGAGGAGAGGGCAGGGGTGTGGGGAGGTGGCTGGAGCCGGAGGTGAGGCTGGCAGGGTGGGTGTTTGGAAGTGTGGGGGCTTGGACAACACCCCCGAGCCTTTCTTCGTCCTACCCGGCTCTGTCACTTTTAGGAGCCCGGGGGTGTCCGGCGCCGCAGACAGCTGTTCGCCTCTCTCTCTCCCCGCTGCGGGCGGCAGGGGTTGGCTCGGAGCTCCGCGCCCGCCGCGCGCCTCCTACCTCCCTGTGCACCTTGGACAGCGCCCCCCGCCTCCCACCGCCCCCTGAGCCGCACGCCGGACCGCGTCCTGCTCCCGCGATCCCCCCGCTGCCTTCTTCTTTCTTCCCAGGGTGCCACCGTCCTGCCCCGCATCCCTTGTCCTCCCTGCCTTGGCGGACTCCGCTCCGGTGCGGGCCAGAAACTTTCCTCTTTGCCTAGCCTGCGCTGGGTGCTATTGTTCATGGTGACTGTCCCCTCCACGCGGGTAACTCAGACACCTTGGCTGGGTCCTCCTCGGTGGGAGCAGGTCCTGCCCTGCTGAACCCAAGGCGAGAGAGGCAGTGAGCAGTAGTGGGGCTCGGAAGCTGCCGGGGTGCAGAGCCCGCGCCTCTCTCCGACTTCCCACCTACCGGGACTCCACGTGCGCGCCGCCTCCCACGGACAGACACGGCCCCTCCCCGACCACCCTTGTCCTCCCCCTTCACGGCCACGGCCACCCCATAGGTTGGACACCCGGGGCTCGCGGGACCTGATTGGCTAAAGGGATAACCCGGCCTCCTTTTTGGAGTGGGGGTGGTGCTGGTGTGTTGTAGTTGTCATCCCCAGGCGTGCACGCGGGGCTGGAGTGGGGTCCACAGGTAGTGAAGCTGGCTGGGTAGGATCCTCGTGTGTCCCATTGTGTACAGCTCTTCAGCCACCCTCTTTCCTTCACATAGGCTCCTGCTTTTCTCCTTTTCTGTTTCCGCAACATTTCACTGCTGTAACATTAAGCATTGGCCTGTAACCCTACTTTTACTAATGTTATATTTGTTCGTTGGCAGTGGTTTGAAAAGCAGACCTAGAAGAATGAAGGAAAGTGTGTGGGAGGTTCATGGCAGACTGGGCTGCACATTTGAGTCCAGTGGTTTGGAGAAAGTAATGGGTGCGTAAGGGATTTAAAGGGGGTTGAAAAGGTGGGAAGGAAATTGTTTTCTGGAGGAGAGACAGAGGTGAGCAAGCTTGGAGAGCTGAGGGAGATGGAAGTGGGTCATTTGTGGGGTGAGATGTGAAAGAGAAACCCAGACCAGGCGCTCCTGGGAAGTGGAGGTAGGTGTGTTTTCATTTAGTTTGTTATTAGCATACTTAATTTCTGTTTTGCCCTTGGAGACTTTATAGTAATAATGTCAATTTAGAGGATTTTGCTTGTCCCAATTTCTTGTGATATATAGATTTGCAACTAGTAATGAATTTCAAAAAGTGAATTTCAGAGGCTTCTCTGATGGACACACTAAAATAGGTGAAGTTAGAGTGCTTTTGAAATATTGTGAGGGAAGACTGGTGAGCATTGTGTAAAATTCAAAGATTGTGGCGTTGTTTAGGGCCCCTGCAGAAGTATATAAGTATGCATAAATAATACTGATTTCTTTTCATTTCAAAGTATGATTGGCTCTAGCATTTTGAAGCTTTAATTCCTTTAGACTGTTTTGATGTTGTGTCTGTACATCAAGAATATTGTTAATTTTATCTTTGGAAACCTTGTCGCAAAACCAACAGCAACGGATGCAAGTTAATGTTGACAACTTTATATTGAGTACGCTGTGCGTTATTTTATCTGTAAGCTAGTAAAATATGCAAGAGAGTAACATAGCATGAATGTTATTCCCCAGGGACCCATATCAAAACAAAGTGGGAATCACATGAGGCTATTCCAGGGAGAATAATTCAATTATTTTTAAAAAGTGAAAATATTTTAAGATTCTTGGGTGTAAACCGCAACTGAATTTTGCCATTTGAATTATTATCTTTGTACACAGTGGTAGCACATGATATTAAAGTAGCATATTAAATATTAGATGATTATGAAGTAGATAGTAAAGGATTTCCATTTATTATTTTATATAAGTAGACAGAATATTCTGACTGTATGAATTTGATGCTACTGGCAAATTGCAAGTTATTGCTATTGTTGAGAAAATAATTTTTACTGTGTTTTCATATCTTTAAGTAATGCTTTGATTTGCCCTCCGGGATTTAGACTCTAGTTTTTGGCCTATCAGATATAATGTATTTGGAGATAGTAAGGAGAAGAATGTATATATTTACACATATACATATATGCAAAATATATGCATGTATATCAGCACACAGCTATATATTAATATATAGAGTTTTGGAAACATTCAGTGTGTTTGTTTATATATATGTTGTCATCATTCTTAGAAAATTTTCTTATATCTTCTGTCCAAAAGGTGGCCCTGTTTTAAACTGTAGAAAGCATTATCACCAGTAGAATTGGCCAATAGATCATGGAAACAGACAATAGTATTTTGTTGCTTGGCAACCACTTACTGTGAATGAAAAACAAAGCAGTGACAGCTGCTTCCACATCCTGATACTCATATTGTAGCTCAAGAATTGCAACCCTCAAATGAGACAAATCTACTAAGTTTCATTTGAGTAAAGTGAAGCTGTTTCTTTTTGGAGATGTTTTTAAAAAGAATATTTAAACCTTTTATTATAATAATAATTATATCGTTATTGTGAGTTGAAATGAAACATCTAATTTCAATTGCCCTCTTTAGCCCAGTATAAACTGAAAAATGCAAGATTGGGAGGAGTGTTTAGCCTCTTCTTATTATTCCCTTTGTAGTCCAGTAAGCACGCTTTCTGCTGCCATAAGTACTCTTAGAATTTTACAAAAACTTTGGAGCTCTCTAGGATACCTAAATAAAGGGCTCGATTTTAAATGCTAGGAGGAGATTAGAAATTGATGCTCTGGCCTAACCCTTTAATTTTCAGACCCTGAGGCACAATGAGGTGATGTGACTTGACCCTGGGGACAAAGCCATTTCCATAATGTCTTCCCTCAGGTCACACCTGAAAAAATTTCCCCTCATTTCCTCCTTCCTTTTTTGTTGTTGTTGTTGTTGTTGCTCTTTATTTACATAACATTTATAACCAAGATATTTATCCTAATAAAGATACTTAGAAAATCCAGTGATATTTGGAAGTGGGAATTCAGTTTTGACACTAGACTGTAGTTTGGGGTCCGTTGTATACTGTATACTGTGCCTTTAACCTCTGGAAGTGCAGACTCCCACCTCTGCCCAGACTGGAGAAGACCAGTCCTTTTCCTTGGTAATTGTTTACCGCTTTGGACAATCTTTAATGATCTATTCTCTATGTGAATTTTAAAGAGGGATGAGATTGAAGATAATGTAGGTCAGCTTGTATACCTGCAGGAGTTTGCACATTACAGCTAATTAATCACTGGTTCCAGCCTTCTGTCTGCAACATGATATAGACTTATGGTTGTTGCAGTGATCTGGGCTCTTTAAAGTATGTAAGCCAGACTGAGTCACTGCATAATACTTGTTTCAGTCTTTTATCACAGCAGTCTTGCCATAAGTGTTACCTGAGGCCTGTTGGCGGAGGACAAGCCATTTATCTGTGAGTGATGGTAATAGTGAAGATTGTCTCTCAACTCTAAGCCATAATGCATAGATTGTTGGGGGAGACAAACTTGGATCACACATGTATTCCTAAACATCCCTTCTAACGGAAGAAGTATTGTATATCGCATGGGTGATGTGTTTTGAGGTTTTTTAGGCTATTTTAAAGAATCTATAATCCTTTGAGAATATTTATGATGAAGGCAGGCATTTAATTTTAATATGACACCTTAAGTAGAAAATTTTGGACTGGAGTGGTTGGAGAAACAAAGGAGTGACAGTATTAAGTACCATTGAAGAGCCATTTTCACCAGAAAAGCATGCACTTTAGCAGATTTGTAGGGGGGAATAAATTGATTTACAGCATGTTTAACCTAGTTTTAGAAGTCTGCTATTAACTTGTTCTAGCTAGAAGGATTTTCAAGCAGAATAATAATTTGGCAGATTTCAAGTGAATGTCAACTGATTTAAAACAAAACAAAACATTTTCCACAGTCTGGCTATGAGTTTGTCCAAGACAAGTATTTTTTTTTCTCTTCTGGATCCTCTGGGATTAATCTGAATGTTAAGGTTATTATTATTTTTTTTTAAATTCTGAACTATTTATTTCTCTTTATATTGTGTCATATTAAACATGCTGTTCACACATTTTAGTTTAATCCACTGGAATCTTAAATTTAACTAACTTCCCTGTCCTACTTTCATGTGCAAGATAATGTGTGTGTATGTATATATGCAAACATATACACAGTACTTACATTTTTTTTCCTTTTTGTTGTTTTCATCCTTATGATTGAACACAAAAGAACTTGATTTGTGTTCTTTTTTAATATAGTAAAGAGAAGCCATAAGCAAGAGATATTTACGTTTTCAATTTTCTTATGTCAGCTTCTGCTATTATAGCCTATAAACTCTCACCCACACAAATAGGATGATTACTAAAAACAAGGAAACAAATAAATACACATCTAAGCATCATCCCATTTGCTATGCTTCAGGCTAGCCAAGAAAGTGTGTTTTCTCATTCTCAGACATATATATTTACACACACAAACCTACATACATATTGAGTTTAAGGTCCTATAGACTCTTGTTTTTTATTATAAGAGTATTTGATTGGGAAACCTGTGTATGGCAATTTTAAAAAGCAAATACTACATATTCATTTTTTCCAAAAACGCAGTAGCATTTATGTTTCAAATTTATGCTGAGACTGTAACTCATGGCCCTTACAACAGTGCCTACAACAACAGAGCCGGGCACCTGGTAGGAACTCAGGGTGCATTTTTGGATTGTGCACTTGCCTCGCTTCTTTTTCTAATGTTGCAAATGTCCCAATTTGTATTTATATGAAGAGTAAAAGTTGAAAAAATGGAGAAGATATTGCTATGTGTGTCTTTTTAAAAATTGATTCTGACACTGTATTAAAAGGTAGAAATAATTAACTTAGTCGGTGATAT